CAAACCTAACAGAGTTTTAACACATTCTTCTTATTATTAACACAGGTTTGTCACAGTTTCTAACATAGGTTTAACAGGGAATTATCACGGTTTATATCACAGGGTTATCACGGTCTTGGTGTCTCATTAACTTGGATATATAATAGTTTTCAATAAATTTGTTCCACGAAGATTAATCATAAATAGATATATATATAGACAGATAAATAGATGTATTCAAAAACATACATACATAAAACATACATACATACATACATACATACATACATTCACAGACATACATACATACATACAGACAGACAGACAGACAGACATACAGAGGAAGAGATGCTAGACGCCTCAGTATTACACCATCGTATCTCAACCTGGTAAAACCCTTGTGAAGTTTACCGGGGGTTCACACACCTCATTATCACGTGGTTTTAATTATTCATTTTCCAGGGGTACAAGGTTATCAGGGTGTGTGTGTGTGTGTGTGTGTGTGTGTGTGTGTGTGTGTGTGTGTGTGTGTGTGTGTGTGTGTGTGTGTGTGTGTGTGTGTGTGTGTGTGTGTGTGTGTGTGTGTGAGGTGTGTGTGTGTGTGTGTGTGTGTGTGTGTGGGTTCATTCAATGTTGACATGACTGTGAATTCTAGACCCCATATATAAACTATCGACGTCTTCTTTGCACACACACACCTACTTTACCTAGAAAAGTGCAAAAGAGGGCATGCAAGATTAATCTCTCCCCTTCCTACTCCACATATCAAGAAGCGCTCAACACACTGACCCTTTCGACTCTCACTGACCATCACCACGACCTCATCTGCAACTTTGGTAAGAAGCTTCTGCACCATCCTCGACACCGGCTCCTACTACCACCTGAGATCCCTAGCCCGAGAATTGCTGTTCGGCACCACAACCGCATCCAGCCCATACGTGCACGAACTGATCGCTATAAGAACAGCCCAGTCCCAACCATTGTAAAAATTATCAATAACTTGTAATAAACCAGTGTATTCACTCCCAGTAAATACTACTTCTTGCACTGTCACTATGTTGAAATGCACTGTAGTTTGAGCTTTTCCCCATCTAGTTATGATATATCTTATTTGTATCACTTATGTTACTTGTATATTATTTGTAATTCGAAACCCATTCCCCAAATTTGTAACTGTATATTTTCAGCCTTCTGGCCAAGCTCTTTCAATAAACCGTTAATTATTATTTATTATTATTATTATTATTTACACACACACACATAGGCTTCAAAAGGAGTACGGTGAGAACTTTGAACCACTGAAATGAACTGGATAATAATGATCATGTAAAACAAAGTTAGTGAAATATGCTTGGAAATTTATCAAAGGAAGAAAAGATGATAGGTAAAGAAGGAGAAATTAGGAAATGTAAGAGAGAGAGAGAGGGAGAGAGAGAGAGGGAGAGAGAGAGAGAAAGAGAAAAAGAGAAAAAGAAAGAGAGAGAGAGAGAGAGAGAGGACATGTAACTCTCTCTCTCTCTCTCTCTCTCTCTCTCTCTCCTTCCACCTTCCTCTTGCTTTCTCAAACTTCTTTTGATATTTCAACAATTTAACATCAACCTGACTACAATGAAACATGTTAATAACTCCCGTTTATCACCAAAACAACAACATAAGAGTATTTCAACAGCAGTCTTACACCAATGTATCATCAATATGACACCAATTTAACATTAACATAACACCAATTTAACATTAACATAACACCAATTTAACATTAACATAACACAAATTTAACATCAATATAACACCAATTTAACATCAATATAACACTAATTTAACATTAACATAACACAAATTTAACATCAATATAACACCAATTTCACGCTAATTTAAGCCAGGCGTAGGAAGAGACAGGTAAGAAAGTGGGAATTTCTATCCACCTTGACGCTACTATTCACCTGAACTACGAGAACAAAGACACGGTAACAAAACCACTGACAAATACAATGTGTGTTAAGCGGAGAGAGAGAGAGAGAGAGAGAGAGAGAGAGAGAGAGAGAGAGAGAGAGAGAGAGAGAGATAAAATACACACGCACACACACACACACTCACTTACGCATTCACAGAACCTACCACACACACACACACACACACACACACACACACACACACACGCAAACAAAACATTAACAGACCCACCTGCGTCTCAGTTCCTTCAGCTGGACACAAAACAAGGCAAGAATAACATCGTAAATCAATGGTGAAACTTATATAACATCGGTCAGAGTGTTCCTGCGATACTGGTAAGTGTAGAATATCTTAGCTATTTACCGATAATATCAAGGTAGGTACTATGAGAGAATTTGGTGTCATGTCATTAACTGTTCTGTAACGACACCAATGATTGATACTATAAATGTAATATCAATAAATATATCACAAAAAATTTATAATAGTAATGCAATATCAATGAATTTATAGAATAATTGATAATATCCTTAAAGCAGGACCACGGCTATCTTGCAACTGACGGATATCGGTTTTGCAATATCAGGCGAGGTAGCAAGAACTCACTCACCTTCTCTGTGCCTCAAAATATTGCCAGAAGAAAAAAAAACATCTTTTATATTCAGGTGAAAGAGTTTGATGGAGATTGACTTGAGGGTTTCTGGGGTGAGGGTGAGACAATGGTTGGTGTGTGTGTGAGAGATGGCAATCAGGAAGATGATTGGATGATAGTTGATGTGGTGGTAAATTAAGGGCGGAAGAGGCGGTGTGGGAGAGTGGGAGGGAAGGAAGGAGGGCAGGGGAAGGTAAGGGAGAGGGAGAGGAAGAAGGGGAGGGAGAGAGGGGGAAGGTGAGGGAGAGGGAGAAAGTAAGGGAGAGAGAAGGGAGAGAAGAATTACAGACTGAAGATCAAACTTGTGGTCAGTCAGTGTTTTGAGATCCGGTGTGTGTGTGTGTGTGTGTGTGTGTGTGTGTGTGTGTGTGTGTGTGTGTGTGCAATTCACCATATCCTTCTCCCCAATCCTTTTCCTCAATCCTTCCACATAATCCCTTCCCCCATCCTTCTTTGATTTTATCCCCTAATACTTCCTCCCAAATCCGTAATTGTTTCCCCCATATCCCTTCAACCTCACTAATCTGTCCCTTAAATCCTTACTCCTTAATCCTTCCCTTAAATCCTTACCGCTTAATCCATATCCCTAATCCTTCCCCATAATCCTTTCCCCTTAATCCTTACTCTTAATCCTTCCCTTCAACCCTTAACCCAAATCCTTACCTTAAATCCTCCATTTCATCCCTTACCCCTAATCCTCCATCCTAATTCTCCTCAGCTTCCATCGCCTCAGGGAAATAGCAATTCTTCACGTGTGCATTTTTATTTCCCATCTTCCTGGTATTTCCAAGCAATTTCAAGAACCGGAACTCGTGAAGATCGCCAAGCTCGGAGCTATATTACGTGTGCACCAGAGAGCTATATTATGTGTGCACCACTGAGCTATATTATATGTGCACCAGGGAGCTATATTATATGTGCACCAGGGAGCTATATTATATGTGCACCATGGAACTATATTATGTGTGCACCAGGGAGTTATATTATGTGTGCACCATGGAACTATATTATGTGTGCACCAGGGAGTTATATTATGTGTGCACCATGGAACTATATTATGTGTGCACCAGGGAGTTATATTATGTGTGCACCATGGAACTATATTATGTGTGCACCAGGGAGTTATATTATGTGTGCACCATGGAACTGATCTATATTGTGTGTGCACCAATGAGCTATATTATATGTGCACCAGTGAGCTATATTATGTGTGCACCAGTGAGCTATATTATGTGTGCACCAGTGAGCTATATTATGTGTGCACCGGGGAGCTATACTGTGTGTGCACCAATGAGCTATATTATATGTGCACCATGGAGCTATATTATGTGTGCACCAGGGAGTTATATTATGTGTGCACCGGGGAATATACTGTGTGTGCACCAATGAGCTATATGTGCTGTGGAGCTATATTATGTGTGCACCAATGATCTATATTATGTATTGCACAGGAATACTGTGTGTGTGCACCAATGAGCTATATTATATGTGCACAAGGGGCGCTATATTATGTATTATAGTGAGCTTCCATATTGTGTGTGCACCATAGGATATATATTATTATTATCGTGTGTGTGTGTGTGTGTGTGTGTGTATTAATTGTGTGTGTATTGTGTATCATTATTATTATTATTTAAGTTTAGTAGATATACAACAGCCCTAGTGTGTGTGTGTGTGTGTGTGTGTGTGTGTGTGTGTGTGTGTGACAGGCCAGACACAGATGAGTTAAACCATCAATTGACTGTCCTTTGACTCACTCCTCAGCTGCCGTGTTCACTATTAGCTGACATGTATTTGACGACCTGCCCCACCTGTCAACACACACACACACACCCCTACACACACACACACACACACACACACACACACACACACACGTACGTGCCTCAGAGAATCAAACGCTAGATTACTTCCTTTATAAATACAGTATGTATAATATAACATTTCTGAGTGGAGTCTCATGGCAATTTTGACCCCATTTTGTCCTCCTCCTCCTTCCTGCCTCGCTGCACGTCACCAACAGTTTCAGCGGAAAACATAATACTCGAGCCTTTGAGAAACATTGGCTGAGGCACGCTAAAGACTCGCTCAATTTCAAGTGAGTGATTTTCCACTTTAGAGAAACTCGGGCAGCTGTAGAACACAAAATTATACGACCTTTTGTCTCATGAACGAATCCAGAGAATAAACACATACAATTTGGTACAGAGACACGCGTTGTCTTCTTTATCACTACTAATAAAAATAGAACGTAAGAGGAATTAGAGATCGGTCAATAGTATAAAAATAAAGTATGAAAATATATAATACATGACGGTCATGCTACACGCTGGTCTGGTTAGTGGCTAGCGCTGGCAACTCGCTCCCCTGAGCTAATAAGATAGGAACATCAGCCGCATGCAACTCAGTAGTGCACCAACCTTGTAAGAGTGGAGTGTAGTCAGCCGAGCCGGTCTCAAATATCACAGACCCTCGCTAGAGAATCCGAGAAGTATTTAAAACGAACTCTTATCAGTAGTGAAGGAACTAAGAACATGAACTAGTGGCGAGTTATCTGTTGTCTGCGGCTCACTCAAGGCGGCTTTTAACGATACTTTTCAAGTTTTAAAACCTCGTGGGTTAAAGGTAAGTGTTAGTGGGCTACAAGAGTGGTGGAGGAGACCAAGCTGCCCTTATCTTGTGCTGGCTCGTCATAATCCTGGCCTTGTGGAGTGCTAATACTAGAGAGTAAAACCTTTTTTTTAATGTACAGAAATAAGAGAAATAAGTAAGTTAAGCCACTATTAAGTGTAAGAAGATTTGTATAAATGAAAAAGTAAATGTGGAGTATTGGTATGATGTGTAACATTTATCTTATCATTAATGTCTTCAATAAATAAATAAATAAATAAATAAATACACACACACACACACACACACACACATATATATATATATATATATATATATATATATATATATATATATATATATATATATATATATATATATATATAATATATATATATATATATATATATATATATATATATATATATATATATTCATTTATTTATTTATTGAAGACATTATTGGTAAGATACACCTTGTACTATACAAGTTTATGTATATATGTGTATATACATTAATAATTTACATAATCACATAGAAGACTATTCTTTTACTTTACATCTACTTTATATCGAATTTATCGTCAGCATGTGGACGTTAAATTACCTCATCAGTACTAAAGCACGATGGATCTTATCAGCCCCGTGTGGTGCTGGATGGCCACGGTTCCGGACGACGGATGTTTTAACAACATCTGCTCAAGAGTTCCCAAGTTGTGGTCGTGTCCTGTTGTTGGTTATTTGTGTGTTTGATTTTTGTCTGTTTGGTGTTCCTTTGTTATTGTCGTCTACACACACACACACACACACACGCCCGGACATGACAGGTAAACTTTGCCCCTTCAGTCACCGTCAACAGGTAGCTGGGGGTGGTGACGTGTATTACTATTGTCTCAGAACATACCTGTGAAACGTGTGTGTGTGTGTGTGTGTGAGTCACGGGAGAGACCAACATCCAGTCTGGTCGAGGGGGAGGAAAGTTGTCTAGCTCTCTCTCTCTCTCTCTCTCTCGGTATTACGTCACCCCTCTCTCCCCCACACACGTAGAGAAAAGTGCCTTCCCGCTATTATTTTCCCCCCTCCACCCACTCAGTACTTTACCTCCCACTACACCTCCCCCCCCTTCTCCTTCCCATCTAGGTGTTGCGTCACGCCCCCCCCACACACATACACGAATACCATTTTTTGTCGCACACGGGTTACTTGGTACACATATTAATGGTGGATGGAGTTTGCAGGAATATAATAAATTAATCTAATCCGTTGGACGCAACCGTATCTGATTCACTCTAACGTAACGCAACCTAACCTAACCTAACTTAACATAATTTAACCTAACGTAATACAACCTAATCTAACTTTTACCAAACTTGGTATAAACATTAACACAACTTAACCTAACTGAAAATAACCCAACTTAACCTACCCTAAACTAGCATTAACCCAACATAAACTAACAAAACAGTAACTCAATTTAACACTAACATAACTTAATCAATTCAACCTAACCTCGGTATCATTCACCTAACTTATTTTAACCTAGTATTAACCCAACGTAACCAAACCTAATATTAACCCAATATAATCTAGCCTAACATTAACCCAAAATAACCTGATTTAACATTAACCTAGCTTAATTAATCTAACATTAACCCAACTTAATTAACCTATCATTAACCCAACTTAACCTAAAATTAACCCAACCTAACAATTCCAACATAACGTAACGACCAGCTCCCCCCCCCCATTAATTCAATACTTTGACCCCTTCACCCCTGCTCCTCCCTCACCCCTGCTCCTCCCTCACCCCTGCTTCTCCCTCACCCCTACTCCTCCCTCACCTTTACTCCCCCTCACCCTAAACACCCACTCCGTTAGTATCTCTCCCAACCCCTGCCCCACCCCGTCATAATCACGCCCCACCCCGTCATAATCACGCCCCACCCCGCCATAGCCTTCTGCCTCACCTCTGTCAAAGCCTGACCGACCCAGTTCAAGATTATTGCGCCACCACACACACACAAGACGGCGGGAAAGGGTGAGTTGAACCAGGGTCGCTGTTATCATGTTATCAGTCAGGATAACATGTTCTCGGTGTTTACAAAGGATACCCACCCTCCCCCCCAGCAGTAACGGGAGTAGCAGGAGTAATGGTAGCTGTAAAATAGTAGCATTATAGAATTAGTAAAGTAGCAGTCGCACTAAAACAGAAGTAGGAGTAGAATTAAAGGAGCAGCAGTAGTAGTAAAGTAACAGTGGCAGTAAAGTAACAAAAAACAACACCAAAGTAGAGTAACAGTAACAAAAGCAGCAGCAGCAATAAAATAGTTGTACCAGTAGTACAACGTAGCAGTAGCATTAGAAGATTACTAAAGTAACAGTAAAGTAGCAGAAACAGTAAACTAGTAGTAAAGTAGCAGTGGCAGTAGAGTAATAGTAGCAAGAAAGTAGCAATAACAGTAGCAAGAAAGTAGTAGCTAAGTAGCAGTAACAGTGGCATGAAAGTAATAATAAAGTAGCAGTAGAAGTAAAGTAGCAGTAACCGTAGCAAGAAAGTAGTCGCTTAGCAGTAACAGAAGTATGAAAGTAATAGTAAAGTAGCAGTAACAGTAGCAAGAAAGTAATAGTAAAGTAACAGTAGCAAGAAAGTAATAGTATTTTTAATAGTATTTTAACAGCAAAGGTAAAGCAGCAGTAGCAGTAAAGTAACATTAATATCCGTCCAACTCTTCTCTTCCTTAATACATGTACACACACACATGTATACGTCACACAGGAGGACTGATAACTCCTTCCATCATTATATTACAGGAAATGCTGCACTAAGTCTCTCTGGAGGCTTCATTAAATTCCCTGAAAGTTTATGTTTGGTTGAGAAATTTTGTGGTTTTGAGAGAGAGGAAAAAATGACGTCAGATCTGCGTGTGTGTGTGTGTGGGCGCCCCCTCTTGATCCTCTCCTTCGCCCCCTCCGACCAAACCCCCCCACTGCCCCCCCCCCTGCCCTCTCCCCCACCACATATAAGGTCAATTACATAAATAGCCTATCTTCATGGAATCGTGGGCTGGAAATTATTTTATAAGAAAATTAATGTTGTCTCCTCTATGTGACCGGTTGGCTAGTTTTATTGTTGTCTTCCAGGAGTGGAGTGCTGGAGTGGTTGTGTGAGTGCTGGAGTGGTTGTTGTTGTTGTGTGAGTGCTGGAAGGGAAAGGTATTATATTTCCCTAATACCCTTCCCCTCCAGCATAGATAACCACACGTACATGCAGACACACACACACACTTATATGTATCAAGTGTTCTTTACTAATACATATTCTATTAAATAAGTAAGCCTGACGTCACCGAGTTCCGTGAGGTGAGTGAGGACAGGGTAACGTTCACGACAGTCCATACTGCCAGGTTACGTAATATAAAGTCGTAAATTAGCTGTTACGAAGCAAGGGATGATATAACGTCGTGAATTATTATTTTATGCCATAAGTGATGCCATGTTGTAAACTCTGCCACGTTATGATATTCTTTGACGATAATAATATACCGTGACGTCATGTATGGGGGGTTTGTTTAGTATCAACATCCGTGACTAGTGGCGGAGGTGGTGGTGACGTTGGCGTGACGTCACAGAGAGGGGCGGGGCTTCCCAAATGCCAAGACGCCCGCCTACACTTGTACTGCTGAACACATCCCAGGTGGTTATGTTATTCTGGTTCATTCTGACGCTGTTCTCTTTTGTTCTCTCTGTTCTCTAAGCTTATGGGTTTATTTTCGTTTCTTTCTCTCTCTCCTCCTGTTTAAGTCTTTGAGAGAGAGATAGAGAGAGAGAGAGATAGAGAGAGAGAGATAGGTCCCTAGATGCTCAAGTTTCCGCTCCGTCCGAAGTTTGGGCGGAAGTTACAGTGGAGACCTCTTGTTGTAGGGCGGAAAAGTGATTCCTTCCTCCACTGTTTTTGGGGGAGGGGTGGTGATTGTCGGGGTGAGCAGGGGGCAGGGCGGGAGGGTTGTCGGGGTGAGGGGGCAGGGCAGGGGAGGGGTGGTCTCGACTATCTCTCTTACGTGTGTTTTACTGACATTGGTGGGGTGGTAGTAGTGGAGGTGGGTAGTAATTGTGGTAGTTGATGTAGTGGTGGTAGTAGATGTGGTGGTTGAAGTGGGTGGTAATTGTGGTAGTTGATGTAGTGGTGGTAGTTGCTGTGATGGTTGAAATGGGTGGTTGTGGTTCTGGTGGTTGATGTAGTGGTTGACGTGGTGCTAACTGTAGTAATTGTTGTGATTGATGTATTGGTGATTGTAATTGTTGTGATTGATGTATTGGTGGTTATTAATGGTGAGTGTTGATGTAGGTGATGGTAGTTCTGGAATTTTTTTGTTTTTTTTGTTTTTTAATATTTAACAGGGATTAGTCCATCCTGGCACAGGTCACACCCACATCGAGGCCTGGGATACGAAAATATAATAATAATAATAATAATAATAATAATAATAATAATAATAATAATAATAATAATAATAATAATAATAATAATAAAATCAATAAAAATATAACATTAAAAATAAAATAATAATAAAGATCCATAAATAAATAACACAAAAAAACGATCAATAGTAAGAAACAATATATGTATGTTGTGTTGTCAATAGTAGAAGAAACAATTGAGACCCTGCAACTGTGTGCTGATGAGGCAGAAAGTCAGATCAGCAACCTGGGACTTGTTCACAATTTTTGTGATGCCATATGGCAGCAGGGTCTACCATTAGACAACACATTATGCTTCCAATATCTTCCCAGGCGGTAGTACCTCCCTGTTTGGTAGCTGCCTACTACCTACTACCTGTTAGTTGTAGTGGTGATATACTGTAGTGATGATAGTGGTTGATAGTTAGCACTGGTTGTGGTTGTGGTTGTGATTGTTATGGTGATGATATTGGTTGAGATGAGAGTTGTATTAGTATTATATCTGGACGCGGGGACAGCGAGCTTTCTTCGACATCAGGATTTTTGATCCCATGGCCGCATGTCACCGTAACCTAGCTCTCGATGCTGCACACAGGAGGAACGAGAACGACAAGATAAGGGCATATGGGGAGAGAATTCAAAACTTTGATCAAGGCAGCTTCACTCCTCTAGTGTTCACAACCTCTGTGGATGGGACCAAGTGCAAAATGCTTCTACGTCAGACTAGCGGAGGTGATCTCCGAACAGAAGCAGCAGCCCAGAAGTTATGTCACAGCCTGGATGAGATGTCGACTGTCCTTCTCTCTCCTTCGGTCGGCTTTGCTCTGCCTCAGGGGAACGAGAGCTTCGGCCCCAATGCCGACAACTGCTGCAGATATTGACTATGAGGCAACAGTCACTGAATGCAGCATAGATCTGCGGCTCAACTAATTCAACACAGATAGGATAGCTACTTATGTATTAGGATATTTAATATTAAGGTAATAAAATGGCGGCGAAGGTGTGGCTATTGGGGGAGGCTGGAGGCCACGTTTAAAAAAAAAGTAGTAGCAGTAGCAGTAGTTATGTACCAGGAAGGATGTCGTAACAAGGACCTCACACACACACACACACACACACACACACACACACACATACACACACACACACACACACTGTCGTAAGCTGAAGTCGTTTTACCACGAAGTCCACGACTATACGACCGGGTCAAGTGTTACTCTCCCTCTCAGATGAACATTCTGAAAAGTTCTTCCGCTCTTAAGACTGATACAGTGTTATTTAGTCTTCATGAACACCTTTGGCTAATTAGATGTGATCTCTATTGTTTACGTTGTTATTTTGTTTATGCAAAATTATTATAAAGTATTAGAAAAATAGTGATTTGATTGGTTGCTCGAAGTCAACAATGGTCTGACGTCAACGAGAAATGTTTGTTTACACAGAGGATACCAGGTAGCTAATTGGAAAACCCCATCTGATGGTCAGTAATTATTTCAGCCAATCATTTTGTTTCGTGTTAAGTGACGTCAGTAATAAGTAAATATATCAGTTGGGAAAAAGTTTCCTGAGGCCAAATGAAAAAATGAAAGAGAGAAAGAGAGAGAGAGAGAGAGAGAGAGAGAGAGAGAGAGAGAGAGAGAGAGACAGGGAGACAGGGAGAGTGTGACCCTTGAGGTTAATTGATTAAACAGAGAAAGAAAAAGACTCAGACAGAGAGGAAATTCCTTTTTGAAATATAAATAACTCCGTAGGTTTTTTATACGGTGCCAGAACTGACACGTACATGATAACAGATGTCTCCACCTCCCTACTTAACCTCAGTACTTGTTTAATTAAAGGGCGTTATCTACTAGAAACCATTGGAGAACAAAAAAAATCCCCATAATACTGAGGTAGTTTTCTAATAAATACCGGAAGAAGAAGAAGAAGAAGTGAGGAGGAGGAGGAGGAGGAGGATTATAGAAGAAAACGAAGATGAGTAGAAGGAGAAGAAGAACAAGACGAAGAAAAATGTCTCAAAAAAAAATCATCATGCGGAATACATGCATCAAAGCACCAACAATAACAACAACAACACACACACACACACACACACACACACACACACACACACACACACACACACACACACACACACACACACACACAAAACATGTTCAAGAAAACCAGAGAAACAAGAAACAATCAAACAGACGTCTTAGCAGCCCAGACAATGTTGTACTCAAGCGTCTGAGTTATTCCTTGAGTGTCACTTGACCCTGAAGAGTGAGGAGGAGGAGGAGGAGGTGGGGTGACAGTGTGAATCAACGGAAGAAGTGGAAGAGGAGAAGAAAGATTAGGGAGAAGAGGAAGATAGGAGGGAGGATGAGGAAGAAGGTAGGAGAGCGTAGAGAAAGAGAGAGGGATAAAGGTGAGAATAGAAGAAGAGAGTGAGGAGAGACTGAGAAGAAAAAAGAGAGAGGAAATGGAGGAAGAGAGAGAGAGACAGAAGGAGAGGTAGAGAGAGAGGGGGAGAATGAGAGGGTAAGAGAAGTGATGATGAGAGTAAAGAAAGTGTGTATGAGAGGGAAGAGAGAGAGGAGATGGGCAGGGAGAGGACTAGGACGGAGAGTGGGAGGAAAGATAAGAAGAGAATAAGGAGAGAGAGGAAGAAGAGAATGAAGAGGAGTGTATTACGCATCATTTGTTTTTCACACCTCCCATTCTCCTTCCCAGCCTCGCCTCCTTCCCACCTCCCGAGCTGACTCACCTGTAACAAGAAGCTAGTTAGATGGAGAGTGCAAAATAGGGGCTATGAAATAGGGAGGTTGGGGGGGGGCAGGATGTAGTTGAAAAGGAGGCAGGAAAGGGGAAGAGGAGGCAGAAAGAAGGGAGAGAGGGAGGAGGAGGGAGAAGATGTACAGAAGGAAGAGGAACATGTGAGCATTAAGAGATGTCTAGTAAAAGATTGAATGAATGTGTTTAGAGAGAGAGAGAGAGAGAGAGAGTCAGTCTGTCTGTCTGGTGTGTTTATCACATGCATACGCAGTCTAGGGTTGCACACACCTGGGGTCTTCGTTGACATGATGCGCCATGGAAGTATATACATTGCATATACATACATATACTGTAAAGTCACTCGTGGATGCTATTAATAACAAACACAAAATAAGAGAGAGAGAGAGAGGGAGAGAGAGAGAGAGAGAGAGAGAGAGAGAGACTGCAGCAACACCCACAACAAAAACCTCCCTGGAAGTGGACAACCTATGATTTATGGCCAGACGTTCCTTCGCCTGGCGACCAACCGTGTATCATCGCCTGCATCATCACTCCTGCTCTCTATCTCTCTCTGTCTGTTCATAGTTTTATCTATTTAACTACTTAATCTATCTCTCTATCTCTGCACTCTTCCTATTTGTTTGTCTCTTTCCCTCTCTCAATTTTTCCTTCCCTCCCTCTCACCCTCCTCCTTCCCTTCCACCTCTCATTTCATCTCTCCCTCCCACTCACTCTTCTCCTTCCATTTCTCCTCTCCCTTACTCTCACCTTCTTCCCTCCTCCCTCTCACTCTTTCCTTCCCTTCCAAAACTCACACTCTCTCACCTCCCTCCCCCTCACCAGCCTCCTCCCTTTCTTTTCCACCAAGCGAACGTGAAAATATGTTCTCATCCCCACCACTGTCTTCTCTCTCGCCAACAAGGGCTTATTACCCTCACCCCAGAATTCATAGGAGAGAAAAATGCCATGTTGATTTTCCGTCGCAAATATAAACAAAGAAATGAAAGCCTTGAAGTGTGGAAGTCTGGAGGAGGTTTTGCAAGGTTTAGGGTTGAGGTTTTATGTGCTATACGGTTTAATGCTTTTGGTGGGGTTTTACAACGTTGTATGTTTATATTTTAACTGGTTTTTAAAGGTGTATTGTTCTTTAAATTCCTTGGGAGGTTTTACAAGATTGCGGGTTTAGGTTTAACTATATTTTAAAGGTTTATTTGCCCATGGAAGCCTTCACGGGTTTACAAGATTATATAGTTTTAACTAAAAGGTTCATATAAGGTTGCATCTGTTGGTATTAAATAGTTTAACAAAGAACTCCCAGCTTGAAGACACTTAAACCTGGTTCTTGACCTCTTGAGGGTGTTACGAGATGGAGGTTGTAAGTGGGAGTAAGTGATTTAGTAGTGAAGATGTGTGTGTGTGTGTGTGTGTGTGTGTGTGTGTGTGTGTGTGTGTGTGTGTGTGTGTGTGTGTGTGTGTGTGTGTGTGTGTGTGTGTGTGTGTGTGTGTGTGTGTGTGTGTGTGTGTGTGTTTATGTATGTGTATGTGTGGAGTGTGTGTGTGTATGTGTGTGTGTGTGTGTGTGTGTGTGTGTGTGTGTGTGTGTGTGTATGTATGTATGTGTGTGTGTGTGTGTGTGTGTGTGTGTGTGTGTGTGTGTGTGTGTGTACCTGGAGAAGTACCGCACGAGAGGGTATACACCGACTGCACACCGGAGCAAACAAGCGCCGTCCCTCCCGCACTAGTTGTAGCCCTCCACACATTCACGTATTTGCCTCTCGAGTCACCTCAGAGCTCACAGACGAAGATAACACTAAATATTGTAATATTCCCATAATTTAGTTATAGCTGCATAATGGTTATACTCGACAAGGAGAGAGAGAGAGAGAGAGAGAGAGAGAGAGAGAGAGAGAGAGAGAGAGAGAGAGAGAGAGAGAGAGAGAGAGAGAGAGAGAGAGAGAGAGAGAGAGAGAGAGAGTAATGTGTGGGTGTTTGAGGAACTGTGCCTGTGTGTGTGTGTGTGTGTGTTACCATGTGTATGCTTGTGTATGTGTGTACGTATTCATATAAGTAATGTACACATGCGGAAGTGCGACTATTGACACGCCTCGTTTTCTGTTTGTCCTCCCTGATGTTTACCAGGTAACACAGTCTTCAAGGCTTCTTGTTTTCTTCAGGCGAGACTCGTTAAAATAAACAATATTTTAGTAATTAGTGAAAAATAATAATGTCTGTGTTGCTTGTAAATATCTACTACTATTACCGATACTACTACTACTACTACTACTACTGCAATTATTATTACTACTACTACTACTACTACTACTACTACAATTATTACTACTACTACTACTACACTACTCTCCCTACTACACCACAATTATTACTATTACTACTACTAACACGACTGCCTTAAATAACTATTTACTTCAATCTCGTAAAACAACATCAACGCATCAAAACTCATTTCAAACTTCCATCTCGTTTCAGTAAAAATAATGAGTGTCTTGAGGTTCACGTTGTTACTGGTTGTGGCGCTACTGTCGGCCGTGACGTCACAACCCTTTAGCCACCCAGAGTCCTCGAGGCGCAGCGGCTTCGAATGGAACTCCAGAAAGATCGGGAACCGAAAAGTGGCGACAATATCCATAAGGTAAGGAATAAGCAGTAGTAGCTCAAGAACTCATTAACAACAGCATTATTCGGGTTCCTATTTAAAATTTGTATAATATCTGAAATGTTAAAAATGGCCAAATTTCTTTGCTGGAGTTCATTAGAGTGCATTATTTTCTACACTTCGTCAGAACTTGTTACAAAGTTAATTATTTTTCGAGTTATGTGAGTTATGTGAACCTACCACAAGTTAAGTGTGTCTCCTTTAACTGCTGTGAGCTGTTTGTCTCTCTTAACTGCTGTGTCTCCCTTAACTGCTGTGTGTCTCTCTTAACTGCTGTGTCTCCCTTAACTGCTGTGTGTCTCCCTTAACTGCTGTGAGCTGTGATTCCCTATAAGTTAAGTAAGCTATTGTAATAATAACACAGATGAACTGAATGTCTTTGTAACCTATCCTAACCTAACCTAACCTATCCTAACCTAACCTAACCTAACCTAACCTAACCTAACCTATCCTAACCTAACCTAACCTAACCTATTCTATCCTAATCTAACCTAATCGAATCAAACCTGACCAAATCCAACCTGACTAAACTAACCTCACCTAACCTAACCTAATTCTCCACTAAAAACCCTGCCATGATACATCAATAAATTGTCTTGGTTTATTTTCTCATGACCAACGACCATCTTACAGAAGGGACGAGGAGCGTGACCGTCGCAGCGTCGCCTTGGCTGATGACGACGAAGACGACGACCCTTTCAGCAGAAGCCTCCTTCCACAACACCACCACCGACACCAGCAAGCGGAGTCCACGGTGGGTGAAGGCGGCCAACACCACCACCATCACCACAGCAAACAACAACAACACTCACACAGACACCATCACGGCGACGACGAGGTGGAGCTGATCGAGGGACTCTCCCCACATCTCCGGGACCTCACCCTCGCCCGCATTAGGAACCTGACGACTGCGAAACCGAAAGGAAACGCCAAGACCAAACGGGAGAGGAAGGGGAATGAAGGAAGAGGGAGAAGAGGAGGAAGAGGAGGAAGAGGGAAAAAGAAGCAGGGAAAGAAGAAGCAACAAAAGAAGAGGAGGTCCTCCAAGAAGAACAAGAACAAGAAAAAAAAGAAGGGGCAAAAGGTATGTCGTGGACTGAAGGACGCCGAGACGAAGAAGAAGTGTAAACAGGAGCTGAAGAAGTGCCGTAAGATGCCACGTGCTGCCAAGAAAGAGTGCAAGGCGAGGGTGGACAGCATGTACCGTGACATGTTTAACTTTATCCAGAGTAAGATTAACAGTAAGTACGTGTTTCTCCCCCCTCTATCTATCCATCTATCTATCTATCGAGTAAAACATTGACATAAAGTAAATAAAATGAAAAACAAATACAGAGACTCAGACATACAGACAGACAACGAAAAGATAAGGGTAATGCGAGGGAGAAGGGAAGAAAGGAAATGGGAGAAGGAGGAGGAAAGAAGGATGAGAGAGAGTGCGAGAGCGAGAGGTAAGATGAGAGAGGAAGGCCTAGGGGAGATGGGGCGGCATAATTCCCCTAACTTTTACACTGAGTGTTTCTTTTCGGGGAAACTTCTCCAACCTTTTAGGGAAAAACTGCAGAGGCCCCATGAGAGCTGCTGCTGCTGTGTGTGTGTGTGGTGTGTGTGTGTGTGTGTGTGTGTGTGTGTTTAATTTACATTATAGATAGACACATAGATAGATGTGTTCATTAGCTAATTACTAGAAATCAACACTGCAGTCAGCTAACAGTGACCTGGGTAAACTAACAGTAACCTGGGTAAACTAACAGTGACCTGGGTAAACTAACAGTAACCTAGGTAAACTAACAGTGACCTGGGTAAACTAACAGTAACCTGGGTAAACTAACAGTGACCTGGGTAAACTAACAGTGACCTAGGTAAACTATCAGTGACCTGGGTAAACTAACAGTGACCTGGGTAAACTAACAGTGACCTGGGTAAACTAACAGTGACCTGGGTAAACTAACAGTGACCTAGGTAAACTAAGTGACCTGGATAAACTAACAGTGACCTGGATAAACTAACAGTGACCTGGGTAAACTAACAGTGACCCGGGGTAAACTAACAGTAACCTACAAACCATGACCTGATAAACTAACAAAGACCTTGATAAATCCAACAGTGACCTGGGTAAACTAACAGTACCCAGGTAAACTAACAGCGACCTGGGTAAATTAACAGACCTGGGTAAATCCAACAGTAACCTGGATAAACCAAGTGACCCTGATAAACTAACAGACCTGGATAAACCGCGAGCACCTGGGTAAACTAACAGTGACCCAGGTAAACTAACAGTGACCTGGATAAAAATAACAGTGACCTGGGTAAACTAACAGACCCGGTAAATTAACAGCACCTAGGTAAACCACGGTGACCGTAAACTAACAGTGACCTGGGTAACCAATCAGTGACCTGGATAAACTAACAGTGACCTGGGTAAACTAACAGTGACCTAGATAAACTAACAGTGACCTGGGTAAAATAACAGTGACCTGGGTAAACTAACAGTGACCTGGGTAAACTAACAGTGACCTAGGTAAACTATCAGTGACCTGGGTAAACTAACAGTGACCTGAGTAAACTAACAGTGACCTGGGTAAACTAACAGTGACCTGGGTAAACTAACAGTGACCTGGGTAAACTAACAGTGACCTAGGTAAACTAAGAGTGACCTGGGTAAACTAACAGTGACCTGGGTAAACTAACAGTGACCTAGGTAAACTAACAGTGACCTAGGTAAACTAAGAGTGACCTGGGTAAACTAGCAGTGACCTGGGAACTAAGAGTGACCTGGGTAAACTAACAGTGACCTAGGTAAACTAAGAGTGACCTGGGTAAACTAAGAGCGACCTGGGTAAACTAACAGTGACCTAGGTAAACTAAGAGTGACCTGGGTAAACTAACAGTGACCTCTTCCCTTCCCAACAGTGAGTGGGAACGAGGCCTGCCAGTACCATCGTCTAGAGCAGTGTTGTCGCCAGGCTGACCTACCCCCCCAGGACCCTACCACCTTGAACCCGGTCGTCAAGTGCCACTTCAGGGAGGTGAGTGCCACGCCCATCCACATGTTTATATCATTATCTCGGCCATGTTCATATTTATATCACGTACACGGACGCCCACATCTCTAACTATCAAGTCCAAATACATATCTATCACACCAATGTACTTGTGTATACATCTTCAACGCCCATGGACATAGTAATTACGCCCATTCATGCTCATGTACATATTTATCACGCCCATTGACACCCACGTATATATCAATCACGCCCACACATCCCATAGTCACATCCAGCAACCTCTACTATACATTGTTAAATTCTATACACAAGGATGAAGATTGATAATTGTTAACGGGGATCATTCAGAGGGTTGAATCAGACGCGGTTGAGATTGGTTAGACTAGAGAAAGGTTGGGTTAGGTTAGGTTAGGTAAAATTTGGAAATTAGGAAAACGCCAAGTGACATTTACGTAGAATCAGGAGACTTGTATCATGGCGTCACGTTTTCTTGACTCACCAACCACGGCTTTCCTTTCAGAAATTCCTGGAGTGTATGCAGGACCAGATGGCCGACACGTGTGACCCGACCTTCCACACCCAGGGCAACATGACCGCCCTCAGGAACAGGATTCGCCAGGTCGTGTGGTCAAACAGCAGCTGCCTAATATCTGAGGCCCTAGAGGGTTAGAGGGTTCACCACGAGGTCATGCAAGGGTTAGTTAGTTCCTTTTGGTGCTTATGCTAGGTCATATGGCCACCAGGAGGTCATGCTAGAGTGAGATAGCCACTAGGAGGTCATGAAAGGGTCAGACGGCCACCACGAAATCATGCTAAAGTCCTGCAATGATCAATTGGATACTCCATGGTCAGCTGACGCGCCAAGAGAACATTTATGGGTCGTTTGGTTACTCCTGGTGCTCGTCCAAGGGTCAAATTACCAAGTGGCAACTAAGAGGTCAAGAGAGTTTTAGCAGCTACGGGGAGCACCAAGTACCTGGCCCTCCTTCACCTGGTGGTTCTTGACTAGACTCTAATAAACAGTCCAGTGGCCAGGTGGGCTGAAGGAGTTACTTGTAGGAGGACTGTTTCAAAAGGCTGTCACGTACATACTCAAACAAGGCTGGAGGACCACTTCCACTCGACGTGTTTCTTACAGAGACGTGATGCTGTTCCTCCAGCAGCTTCAGGATAATGCGGAGAGAAGGACGACCAGCCTGTCGTGGACGGTGTGTTGGCCCTATGAGTGGCGTGCCAGGTGGAAGGAAACACTGTCGCTCGTATCATGAAAAGAGCGTTACTGCAGGCAGTAGACGGGCGGACGTTCGCCCGGTGTAATTGACATTGCCAGGCGCAGGTGATTGTTCGTACTGGAGCTGATTTTCTGGTAAGAAACTATGTATATATATGCATACATGACTGTGCCTCTTCTGAGCTTCGGACTCGTGGTCTTAAGCGAGCAATATGACTTTCTGGTGAACTAAAAAGACACAAAAAACTTGTTGGGTCAAGATGGTGACGTAAAGACACAGTACTACTCGCACAGTACATGTATTATCACCCATCGAGGGCTTTACCCACTTAAGGCTTTCTCTAGGCTAAGATCCCAAATGTACAATGGGCCACCCATATCCAGGGAGTCAAGAGAGTTTCATCTCTCGTCGATGCTTCTGTATATAATAGCTTTTGGAAAGTTATCGTCAGTATCCACACTAGTAGTTACATTATCGCAGGACTGTGCTGTGTTCACTCTCTAGACTGTGCTGTGTTCACTCGCCAGACTGTGCTGTGTTCACTCGCCAGACTGTGCTGTGTTCACTCGCCAGACTGTGCTGTGTTCACTCTCCAGACTGTGCTGTGTTCACTCTCCAGACTGTGCTGTGTTCATTCTCCAGACTGTGCTGTGTTAACTCTCCAGACTGTGCTGTGTTCACTCGACAGACTGTGCTATGTTCACTCGTCAAACTGTGTTGTGTTCACTCTCTAGACTGTGCTGTGTCCACTCTCTAGACTGTGCTGTGTTCACTCTCCAGACTGTGCTGTGCTGTGTCTACCTCCAGACTGTGCTGTGTCTACTCTCCAGACTGTGCTGTGTCTATTCTCCAGACTGTGCTGTGTTCACTCTCCAGACTGTGCTGTGTTCACTCGCCAGACTGTGCTGTGTTCACTCGCCAGACTGTGCTGTGTTCACTCGCCAGACTGTGCTGTGTTCACTCTCCAGACTGTGCTGTGTTCATTCTCCAGACTGTGCTGTGTTAACTCTCCAGACTGTGCTGTGTTCACTCGACAGACTGTGCTATGTTCACTCGTCAAACTGTGTTGTGTTCACTCTCTAGACTGTGCTGTGTCCACTCTCTAGACTGTGCTGTGTTCACTCTCCAGACTGTGCTGTGTTCACTCTCCAGACTGTGCTGTGTTCACTCGACAGATTGTGCTATGTTCACTCTCCAGACTGTGCTGTGTTCACTCTCCACACTGTGCTGTGTTCACTCTTTAGACTATGCTGTGTTCACTCGCCAGCCTGTGCTGTGTTCACTCTCCAGATTGTGCTTTGTTCACTCTCCAAACTGTGCTGTGTTCACTCTCTAGACTATGCTGTGTTCACTCTCGAGAATGCGCTTCGTTCACTCTCCAGTCTGTGCTGTGTTCACCCGCTAAACTGTTCTGTGTTCACTCGCCAGACTGTGCTGTGTTCACTCGACAGATTGTGCTATGTTCACTCTCCAAACTGTGCTGTGTTCACTCCCCAGACTATGCTGTAGTTCACTCCCAGACTGGTGTGCTGTGTTCACTCGCCAGACTGTGCTGTGTTTACTCTCCAGATTGTGCTATGCTCACTCTCCAGACTGTGCTGTGTTCACTCTCCAGTCTGTGCTGTGTTCACCTGCCAAATTGCTTCTGTGTTCACTGCCAGACTGTGCGTGTCGTCGCCAGATTGTGCCAGGTTCACTCGCCAGACTGTGCTGTGTTCACTTCTAGATCACCTGTGTTCACCCACTAGACTGTGCTGTGTCTACTCGCCAGACTGTGCTGTGTTCACTCGCCAGCCTGTGCTGTGTTCACCCGCTGCTGTACTGCGTTCACCCACCAGACTGTGCTGTGTTCACTATCCAGACTGTGCTGTGTTCACCCGCTAAACTCGAAGCAGGTTCACTATCCAGACTGTGCCAAACACTGCATGAAATACTGCCGTGCCACCACAAATTAAAGCCAGGTTTACCGCCAGACTGTGCTGTTAATCCTCCAGACCGTGCTGGTGTTCACCCACCAGACTGTGCTGTGTTCACTCGCCAGACTGTGCTATGTTCACTATCCAGACTGTGCTGTGTTCACCCACCAGATTGTGCCAGGTTCACCGGCCTGACTGTGCCAGGCTCCACTTTCGAGACTGTGCTGTGTTCACTATCCAGACTGTGCTGTGTTCACTCGCCAGACTGTGCTGTGTTCACTCTCTAGACTGTGCTGTGTTCACTCGCCAGACTGTGCTGTGTTCACTCTCCAGACTGTGTTGTGTTCACTCTCCAGACTGTGCTGTATTCATTCTCCAGACTGTGCTATGTTCACTCGTCAGACTGTGTTGTGTTCACTCTCTAGACTGTGCCGTGTCCACTCTCTAGACTGTGCTGTGTTCACTATCCAGACTGTGCTTTGTTCACGGCCAGACTGTGCTGTGTTCACTGGCTGTGACTGCTGTGTCTACTCTCCAGACTGTGCTGTGTTCACTATCCAGACTGTGTGCTGTGTTCACTCGCCAGACTGTGCTATGTTCACTATCCAGACTGTGCTGGGTGCTCCACTGGCTGTGATCTGTGCTGTGTTCACTCTCCAGACTGTGCTGTGTTCACCGGCCAGACTGTGCTGTGTTCACTCTCCAGACTGTGCTGTGTTCACTATCCAGACTGTGCTGTGTTCACTGCCAGACTGTGCTGTGTCTACTCGCCAGACTGTGCTGTAACTACTCATCCAGACTGTGCTGTGTTCACTGGGCCAGACTGTGCTGTGTTCACCCACCAGACTGTGCTGTGTCTACTCTCCAGACTGCGCGCTGTGTCTTTCACTGCCAGACTGTGCTGTGTTCACCCACCAGACTGTGCTGTGTCTACTCTCCAGACTGTGCTGTGCTCACTGCCAGACTGTGCTGCAGGTTCACTATCCAGACTGTGCTGTGTTCACTGCCAGACTGTGCTGTGTTCATCATCCAGACTGTGCTGTGTTCACTCGCCAGACTGTGCTGTGTTCACTCTCGCCAGGACTGTGCTGTGTTCACTATCCAGACTGTGCTGTGTTCACTGCCGTGACTGTGCTGTGTTCACCCACCAGACTGTGCTGTGTTCACTCTCCAGACTGTGTGCAGTCCACTGCCAGACTGTGCTGTGTTCACCCACCAGACTGTGCTGTGTTCACTCTCTCCAGACTGTGCTGTGTTCACTCGCCAGACTGTGCTGTGTTCACTCGCCAGACTGTGCTGTGTTCACCCACCAGACTGTGCTGTGTTCACCCACCAGACTGTGCTGTGTTCACCCACCAGACTGTGCTGTGTTCACTCGCCAGACTGTGCTGTGTTCATCCACCAGACTGTGCTGTGTTCACCCACCAGACTGTGCTGTGTTCATCCACCAGACTGTGCTGTGTTCACTCGCCAGACTGTGCTGTGTTCATCCACCAGACTGTGCTGTGTTCACTTGTTCACCCACCAGACTGTGCTGTGTTCACTCGCCAGACTGTGCTGTGTTCACCCACCAGACTGTGCTGTGTTCACCCACCAGACTGTGCTGTGTTCACCCACCAGACTGTGCTGTGTTCACTCGCCAGACTGTGCTGTGTTCACTCACCAGACTGTGCTGTGTTCACCCACCAGACTGTGCTGTGTTCATCCACCAGACTGTGCTGTGTTCACTCGCCAGACTGTGCTGTGTTCATCCACCAGACTGTGCTGTGTTCACTCGCCAGACTGTGCTGTGTTCACTCACCTGACACACACCCGTGAAAGGTTATAAATGCTACACCCTGGAGGCAAGACGAGGCAGGACGGTGTACGTGAAACAATACAACATCAGCCTTTAATTACCGTCTGTCCTCTACCTACCAGGCCAGAGTCACATAAAACTATGGTCACATGAAGTTAAAGTCGCATAACACCAATGTCACATAGTCACATAACACAGAGGTCACATAAAGTCACATAACACTAAACTCACATAAAACTAAGTCCACACAAAGTCACTTAACACTAAGGCCACATAAAATCACATAATACTAAAGTCACATAAAAATCACATAAGACTTCGTCCATAAAAAGTCACATAACACGAAGATTATATAAAGTCACATAACACTTAGGTCACATAAAGTCACATAACACTAAGGTCACATAACACTGCATAGTCACATAAAAGTTACATAAAGTTATATCTTAGAACAAATAAATTCACATGAAGTCACCCAGAATTAACCCCCCCCCCCACCAAAAAAAAAAGATAAGTTATATAAAATTAAACCTCATATAAAAGAATTAAGCCTCCATTTACGTGTAACCTTTCCCCTGCCCTTCACTGTTGATAGAAAAATAACCCAGACATTTATTTAACTTGTGGTTTATCCTCCGTCAACCTATCGATCATCCCCCCCCCTTCCCGACACCCTCCCCCGACACCCCTCTCCCCTCCTCTGGCGTCCTCAGCAAGTGTCAGAAGTAAGGTAGCTACTGGTTAGAGTGA